ACACAGCCCCATTTCCCAACCAAAAAAATGATGGCCGCTACAGAAGTGCCAAGGAAGAGGCTCAGATGATAAAAGTCTATCATGAAAATCAGAAGCTCATGTAGCTCTGTACCTCGCGGCTCGAGCCCTCAGCTCACGCAATAGCGTGCGTAGCTTTTTGGTGTAACATAATGTGATGTAACGTAACGTAATGTAATGCAATATAATGCAATGCAATGTAATGTAATGTAGTCTAACGTAACGTAACGCAATGTAATGTTATGTACCCAAAAGCCGACCTTGTAACACGGACGAGCGAGGACAACTGGAGTCTCTCGTGGTACACCATGCCAAAAGGGCCCCAATCATGTCTGGACAAGATGTAAAGCTTACGAGACTTATGAGTAAAACTTTCTGAAGACCATGAGGCAAGTATGTTGCTCTTTTGACATTTGCATGCAGCCCTAATTGAAAATTTTGTTGCAGGAGGAGGCGGTCCTCATAAGCATTCCCATGCGCGGCCGAACTATGGCAGTTTTCGATTTCTCCAAATTCCACGACCTGGCAGTCTGCAGCACCTTTTTTTACAAAGTAAAGACAGGCGACGGTTATCCTTTTCGCATTTTTGACAGGTTATGAAGTGCGTCGAGCAATACGAAAGATGAAGATTGGCAAAACAGCTGCTCCGGAGGAGGTACCCATCGAGGCATAGAAGACGCTCGGAAAGGTGGCTCACCGGTCTCCTGGATACTGCAAGCGCCGAAGGAAGAATATTAGAAACCTGGAAGACTGTTTCCATCTTCAAGCAGAAAGGGGACGTACGCGATGTGTTCCAACTATCACGGGTTCGGTTGATTGCTCAAACCATGATACTGTGCGAACGGTCAGCGGAATCAACCTTGAAGAAACGTTGCGTGGTTCAGGCTCTAAATGCTCAAACAAACGAGACATGGATAAGGTGAAACGAGTTCGCTGTGTATTCGTTAAACGATTTTACAACAGCACGCGCAAAAGAAAGGTCTACAGGGCAGTGGTGTGACCCGCGATGCTCTATGGCAGCGAGTGCTGGCCCGCAAGCGAAAAAGACAGCTTCACTCCGCTAAAATGAGGATGCACAGACGGACGGTTGGACGGTTGGAAGCGACTGAAGCGGATCAGAAAAGAAACACGAGGACGGTCACACAAGCGCTCTGCTCAGCTGGAAATGAGGGAGCAGCGTCTGCGATGGAACGGGCATATACTGAGAAGACCAAAGAATATCCGATAAGGGAGGCACTGGAATTCGAGGTCTACGACAAGCATCCATGAGAAGCTTCAGAGAAGAGATGGCGAAGCTACAGTAACGACAGAAGAGGCCGAAGATGTCAAACACTCGAGATGGCCAACAAAAACAGCGGACCCTGTGATTAACGGGTCCAACACTAGGGAGAAGAAGAAGATAGATTGAGACCTGTTCCTCGTCCGCATGCTGCTCTCCAAATTGTGGAAGATTTTCGTTTTGAGATATCGACGACACTAGGCACGACACACTTTTGAGCGCACCTCAACGGACGTTCGTTCATACTCACAATACCGAGCTCTTGAAAATGACGCTGTGATTGAGGCCCGCACTTCCGTGTGATGACTGCACACTTGCTCATCGCTTCTGGAGGTAGATAATGTTAACATGATGAGGAAAAATTTTCTCGGTATCTGGTAGGCAACTTCCTTTCGATCTTGGGACTACCATATTGCTAGGAAGGATGACTTTCTACTTCTACAAAGCAAATTCGTTTTATTAGTATCGCCAATTAACAGCGAGAGACCATGACAATCTTCGGACAGTACTTCCTTCTACTCAGTCAACACGGCACCGGAATAGCTCCAGCAGAGTTTAAGGCGTAATCTTAGCAATCACCTGTTTCTTCTTCGCCATTGAGCAGGTGAGTGATCTCGAAGTCGATCGGCCGCCATGTCAACATATCATACATGATATTGTTTCTTCAGGACTTCAGTCACTTAATCTGACCACAGAATTTAGACTCCTCTCATGCTTCCACCATCCATAACAGGCAGAATCCATGAGTTTCCATGGTTTGCACGCGACCTCATTTGTGTTTGTCTGTTTGTGAATCGATTCAACACAAAACGAGGTCTCGCTGTCGCTTTATTATTCAATAGATGCGCAATAGTAGTTATCGCTAAAATATTTAGTATCTATGGGAAAGTAGTCTCAGAACGTACAAACCAAAGTTCTAGGAAGATAATGAAACACTATCAGGGCCGCCGTTTAAGAGCACTATCAGGGCGCCGTGCGTACTGGGCATGAAAACATTCCATCGTGTGTGGAGAATAGCCTGTAATTAGCTTTCGAGATGTTCCTACCCTTGATTCTGGAGGACTGTTACGACAAACCTGAAACCTACAACGAAAACCTTTGATAACGGTACTTAGGTATCTTCCACAGTTCTGAGAGATAGATTTCTTCCCCACGTTCTCATTTTTTGTGTCCCTTCACTGCTGTCTTTTACCATTTAATAAGAGCCTCCCTCTTTGCGAAGGAGGTTGTGCAGAACGCCTGTTTTTGAGCCGAAAATGGTGTTAAGAACTTCTCTTTTCTTTTTCTCTGCTTCCGAAATCACGTTCCTATCCCTGGATGATTTAAAGACGAGGATGATTGGGGATGATTTTATGACGTTTCTGAGCAGTGTTGACCTTCAATCTTAACTTCGGCTACCTCGGAGCGTACTCGGCAGCCATAACAAATTGGGACCACTTTTTTCTGAATCGGAGTTAAGTTATAAGTTAATGAGTTATCGGATGCTGAACTCGAACCTGCTTTCCAAATTCGCCGAACTATGATCTGAATGGAGTTGTGAGGTGATTTTAGGTGAGGCTTAACATGAGAAAACTTACATTACATGGATATACCAGTTTCAGCAGCGGTGGTTTGAGCAGTGGCAAGGTTGACACTTCATGCGCAATAGACTGGTGTTCGAGATTTATAGTGGAAAGTTTTGCAACATAATGAATTTTCCTTGTAAACTGTGAATATCTTTCATGTTGAATTTTCGCCTTCCACGATCTTCTGATATTTGCGGTGACAACCCAAAACAAGCAATATCGCATAATAAACGTGGGGTGCACGAAATGTCAGGGAACAAAAACCTTTTTCACAATTGAAACAAGTAATAAAGAAGAATCGCATTGATTCACAATCACTTATCCAAATCAGAAGCAAAACAGAATTGTGTAGGGGTCTCCAAAATAATCCTGCTGAATGCTTGAGTGCCCGACAACGTGTCATAAGCAAAAAAAAGAAAGTCACCAAGTCAAATAGCGCAAAATTGAAAGTAGGCAGGTCACGTCAGGTATAAACAGAAGTTCAGATTGGGGCTGTTACGTATGAGGGATAGATCATGTTTTTGAACGGCGACAAGAAATGAACTATGATTGGCTGTATTAGCCTCTGATACGCCCAATCATTATGCGTATGCCTATTACCTTCACCTGCTTCTGTGGAGAACTAAATAAGCTCCATAAATTTTGAACAATGTCCACGAATCCACTACCAACAAGGTTGGTCTTGAAGGATTCGGAGTCGCCACGCACGATTGTACCCACTCGAAAATCACGAAGGAAATCTGGCCCAGAGGTTATCAACGAGAACTCAAAAAATTGTGAAAGAGTGGCCGCTTGCAGAGAGCAAGCGCACAACCTCGTCGACTTCCATCAAGTCTCTTGGTGCCAGAAATAGCAGGGAGTGTGCATGTCTCTCAGAAATTTCATCGTGAACGTGAAGGGCTGAAAGAGGCAAGACGTTGGTGTTGATCGATGAAGCCTTTGGGATGCGTCCCGCATCCGATATCATTCATAATGGCATTCGAAGCGCGTACATGGCTTACTAACTGAGCCGGTATGGACATGCCAATGAACAATTTAGTTCTTCCAACCATCCAGAAGCGCCTGGTACCAATTAACCAACCCTGGTGGCTTGGCTAGCCTGAACGATAATCGATGGGGAGTTCGATCTCTGGACCATCCGTGAAACCGCACAGTAGACCTGCACATCGAAATTGCCCCACTGAGAATATAGCGTGTACGAATATGCGAAAAATTGAACCTACACTGCATGTTTTGGGCAAGAAACTTGTCACAACAACCATCAAAAGGCTGTAGAACGCGATAAAGTCAATATCAAAAGAATTCATAGGCTGAAAGGGAAGAATTCAATATCCTCAGCTCCCACAAAACCTGAACCCTAATTCATCGCACATGAAGCATCACCCTTATCACTGCTCCACGCCACCGCTGAGGAACCTCCTACATCCATGCAAATTAAGTTTTCTCATGTTAACCTCACCTAAAATCATCTCACAACCCATTCAAATAATCGCTCGGCAAATTTGGAAAGCAGATTTTGAAATTAGCATGCGATAATACATCTAGCAGTGTGGGCCTCATTCCAAACGGCCACTTCGACTTGGACTTCTTCCCTGGCACTACCCAGAATGAAGTGTCACCTCCAGTTCTTGTCCAACTATACCTACTTATTGGGCTCTAGAACGCTTTTGAACAGAGTTTATGTACTCCTCTTTGCTCCGCCCCGTCCACTATGAAAATTTTACCATTCCTGCATCAATTGTCTTGGATCCCTTTTTTTCTGAACAGGTTTTTATTCATAAATCATCCGTAACTAGAGGTTAGAAAAGAGGAAATGTCATATTTTCCGCCCAATCGGAAAATCTGACTTCCCCTCTATTTAGCCTCTAATCACTTCTCTCAGATTCCGCAATAATTTTAAAGATGGTTACAGTTTGTTGCAAGAAGCGCCTCCCATCTGGAAACTCTTTGTTGCAGGTGAGAACCGCTGAATTTACGCAAACCTTGTCCATCATAAACCGTGCTCATTTCAACATTTCTCTGCTCTCTTGGCTCTGAATGAATGAATCGATTTATGAACATACTTAGTAAGCAGCGGTCACGGTGGAGACGCCTAGCCACGGTTCTTTGTCAGCTGTCTTGTCCGTTCTAAAACCGAATTAGGGAGTTGGGTCTTCGGTACCGTCTATTCCGGTACATATCTCGCCCGAAGGTCCGTTGGGCTTACGTGTGCTGCAGATCTTACTTTGAGATCCACCAAGATTCACCTCACCACCGAGTGAGATTCGCGCACTTGCCTCTATTGGCACTTCCTCTTGGTAATATGGAATGATGTGACAGAAATGCACACAGATAGGTGCTAGCGCTTCCCATATATTAAATGCCCGAGCTCGCGAAGCCATGCAAAGGAGCAATTGGGATAACCTGAAAACCTGAAGTCATAAATGAGGCTATTTTGGTCGCCAAGCGATGAAGAGCAATATGAATGGTCGAAGCCCACTGGAGTTTCGCTAGTTATAAGACCGAAATGACTTATCTCAAACGTCTGGATGGAACATTTACTTCATACCGAAGAACAAGATCAGATTGAGAAGATCTTTTGCGGCTTCTACTTTGGGCATTTCAACAACCATGCTCGATTGCCCACCTACTATCGGAAATAGGACAGCTATTTCGTTCATTCATTTTCCTCCTCCGGTGTCCAATGTGCTATTACACCAGTGTAAAGAATTGTAGCACTTGAAGTAACCTGACAGGCTATATCAGTTCAGCAGCAGATTCTCACCATTCACGATGGGTCGAGTAATTCAAAAAGGCACATAATGGTATAAGGTACCAGGCGGCTACGCACGCTATCGCGTGCGCTAGGGGCTCTAGCCATGTGAGACGGAGCCACATGAGCTGATTTTCATTGTAGACCTTTATCGGATTTATGAGTTTCCGCTCAAACTTCGCCTCCTGTAAGCGGAGTCTGGTCCTGCCACCCACCATAAGTGTTCCCATCCCGTCGCCTGTACTCCTACCAAGTTTGAACTTTCTAGGTCCATGGGGACAGGAGTTATCGATTTTCGGCCAATCCCCGCTCCTTGTGGGCGGGGCAGGTCTTCGCTGACGTCATTCATGCTGAAGACACCTTCGACATTGCTTCTCCTACATCAACATTTTCCTTCTCTGTTGGCTTTCTCCGAACCGAGTTATAAATGTTTTCATAAAGCATTGCATTTTTGGAGAAAAACCTTTAAACCCCAGTTTTGAAGCCGTCTTGTGACTGAATTGGAAATCATGGTCCTCAGTACAGCTGATTTCGATGCACGCCACGCCCACTGTGGACGGGGCTCCGCCAAGCTGATGTGTACTTCACACTTCTCGAGACATTGCCCACCCATCCCACGCTTGACCCGGTCTCTCCAAGCAAATCTAAAGGAGCTAAGGAATTTCGTGACAGGCATACGACAGACAGACAGACAGACAGATAGATATAGATAGATATAGATAGATATAGATAGATATAGATAGATATAGATAGATCGGGAGCAAGTGGTATGGAAGATCAAGGCGCTGGAAACCAGTGTCAGTGGCATGTCACGCAAGCATGACGCGATAACCGTTATGGCGCATCTTAACAAACGCTATGCTCTTCGCTATTACGTCTCAGCATCTGCGACAGTCCATGATGAAGTCGCGCTCCCGAAAACGAAATACGAGTCATGTCATGTTTCCTTCCTTTCTCTAGTTTATGGTTACGTTTTTTCTGCGAGTAGAGATGGTTCGGTTAGAGAAGGCTATCAAATTGCACCCTTATCGGACTTGATAAAACTGGCTAATATCAAACCATTTCAACATTGTATGCACGTACCTGATCTGATCATATTCGCTGCTTCCAGGATACAAGGGCCATCCAAGAAAAAGCTCTGCTATCACACATCCCAACGACCACATATCGATAGCTTCGCGGAACGGGAGACCAAGGATTATTTCTGGTGCTCTGAACATCAGGAATACTAATCACGTAAGGAATTTTCAAAGTTCATTGCAGTACTCGCCGTAAGAACTCTAGAATTTCGCGTCTTTTCTGCAGTCTGCCGTTCGCTGATCGGTTTCCTGGTGAGCGCGTAGATACGCAGGTGGCCGGGTACTATAGGGACGCGGGATTGGAATGGAGGTTCCTGGGGGGGGGGGGGGGGGGAGTGTAAGATTTGCAGGAAGCGAGATACCGTAGTGACGAGAAAGTGGGACAGCTTGAATGGGAGTTCTGTGACGCTGATGAAGTGCGGGAAGATGGGGTCATTTGAATAGAGGTTTTTCCAAAGGAGGGCAAGACCTAAGGTTTAATACTGTTTTGAAAAAGTATAGATGAGTTTCCAGGCAAAAGCAAAGCCAGCTCGCGGACGTTCGTTCTGCTCTTACGACGCCTGCGAATCAAAGTCCTAAAAACCCCTATTTCAACCTCGCCCCTACAGTACTCGACCACATGCGATCCAAACACGCTTACCACGGAATCAGCGACGGACAAACGGCAGAGAATGGTTTTGAAGCGAGGTTTCCATCACGGCTGACCCTTATATCACTAGAGTAGACAGCATCTCAAGAGGAATCTGATAGGTGTAATTTAGTTGCGAAGAGCTCATTGGGAAAGGAAAAACATAATTTTTAATTCGGGCGTGATGAACAGCGAAGTCTGGGACCATACCAAGGGAGAAACTTTGATCGAAGATGGGGTGTCTCATAACTGTCTTGCAAGGAACAAAGAGTTGTCCACAATAATAGACTGCCTTCAACGCCGCCTCCTTAGAGTTCGACGGAAAATCCCTCCAAAAATTGGAATAATCGAAAAAATCGACTGCATTAAATTCCATGTTCTCTCATCTTGAAACCTCGGCATGTCTGTTGTACTTGAAACTGATAATTTTGCTTCTGCCACGAGGTTGTTAGGTGGGAATCTTTATTCTGGCCGACGTTTCGACGGACTCGTCGTTTTCAAAGGCCTGAAAATGGCTCAAAGCTTTTGATTGCACACTACCCCACCAAGTGCCTCCTCCGCTCTAGCATTTCTGACCTTCTATCAGGAACGCACGAAAAATGCCCAAAAAATAAAAAGATAAGCTCA